TTAGCTGAACATAATCATTCTCATACATGTTATGGAAAAATGAACTCAGTCAGATTCTCTGTTATCACTTCTGTTTTTTCTTAAAACTCTATTTACATCCCAATACAAAGGAAAGAGCATCCCATATTTTTATTTTTAATATCATATAAATTTATCAGATGAAATTTTAGAATAAAAAATTCCTGCCTGCACAGTAAGAACAGATGGAATTTTAAATAAAAAGGATCACAAAATGTATTTACAGTTTATATTATGTATTTAAATAATTTAAATCAAATTGAAAATAAAATAAAATTTACTCAAAATTTTAAAAAAATCTATCGCACATAGTTGCCATTAAGCACTTATTTCAACAAATTTGCTTTTCTTTCTCTTTCTTTTTAAATTTATTTATGAAAGAGAAGATGACAAATTGACTTTTCATACTTATCATGTTCTTTAAAATACACAGCTTTTAAATAATTACCAAACTCTTTTAGTGTTATAGTAGCTGTGCAAGTGAAACCTGTTTTTGAACTTCCTTGTACTTTTAGCTGTCTCTCACACTTTCCTTTTATTTTGTATATACCAATTCTATTCCAGGAAAATAGTGTTTAGGTGCACTTCTTTCAGCTTAATGCCAGATGACTGTACTGTAAAATGTGTTGCAGTTCTTTTCTCTTCATCGGATAAGCACAAATAAAAGTCCAAAGGTAAAAAAAAACATACAGTGGCTCACAAAAGTCTTCGTACGCTTACGAGTTTCAGTAAAATATTGCTTTATTCATGAACAAAAATTAATATTTTAAAAGGAATTTTTTTAATAATATATATATATATAAATTTCTCCTAGCAACAATACATTAATTATTTTATGAACATGTTAAAACCTTTTTTTGAAAATCAATAACGAAAAAGTAACAGAAAAGTTACTTCACAAAAGTCTTCATATGCTTTAAAAGAAATCTGGATATATTAGAAAATATTACAGTATATTTGTCAGTTAATATTTTGTAGTATATCCTGCAGTATTTATGACAGTTTCTGGGCATAAAGTTAAGCAGTTTTTTTTTTTTTTTTTTTGGTAATATCTGCATCAACGTTTCTCCATTTACTGTTTTTAGTTTGTTTTAGTTTGCTTTTTGTTTTGATGATGTGTAACCTAATTCTTTCCAAATGTGTTCTGTTGGGTTTAAATCTGGTTACTGAGGTGGTGTTTTCAGAACTTGTGGACAATTATAGCCACCAAAAGGCAAACATTGAGAGCTGTGTACTTAGGATTGTTAACCTGATAAAAAAATTAATTTGTTTCCAGCATCCAAATTTTGGGTGGATAATTTTAAATTATATTTTAAATTATTTAAACAAAAAGCATGGTTCATTGTGCCATCAATAAATATTAAATTATTTAAGCAAAGAGCATGGTTCATTGTGCCATCAATAAATATTAAATTATTTAATCCTGATGCTGACATGCACTCTCAAACTAGAACTCCTCCACCATTATGATTTACTGCTCCAACCAGGGTCTTGGGATTAAGCTCCTCAGGTTTTTTTCCTCTCTACAGTTATTGAGCTAAATGATGTTAAATTTGCTTTTATCTGCAAATAAGACATGATACCAATTCACTTCGAGCTCATTTACCATTGATTTTGAGAAGAAAAAGTCTAAGCTTTCTATTTTTTGCACAGTGCTCAGATCAGCTGGATTACATGAGCAGAGCGCCCATGTAATCCAGCTGATCTGAGCACTCGTCGAAGAGTTTTAAGTGAAACAAGTAGAAAATTTCTCAGTAAATTCTGTAGAAATCTTTACAACACTTAAATGTGGATTTTTCACAGATTTTTCTAACTATAAATCTCTGATCACGTTGAGTCATACCAGACAATCTTTTCTTACTTTATTTTGGATCTGATTTTCTTCTTTAAAGCATTTTATCATATATTGTACCATAGAATAGGAAAAATTTGCTAATTTAGCAATATCCTGAAACAAATTTCTATCCTTATGATAAAAAAAAATTATCAATTTTCAAATGCTGTTTGTTGCTTTTTTACGACTATGAGACATTTTTAAACATTAAGTAAAATATAACAAAATAAACAAGTAAAAAACAAAGCCAAGCAATTTTTTAAATGTCACCAAAATGCAAAAATAAAAAAAAAAAGACAATATTTTTATTTATGAAATTTTACGAAAATGTTTCAGTGTACGATCACTTTTGTGACTTGTTTTATCTATACCTCCTTACATTTTCAATTTTAGAAAAAGAAAATAAGTCAGTATTAAAAATTAAAAAGTTTGGTTTTATTCGAAATCACATGGAGATGATATGAAATGACATTGGGCTTTACATTTAAATTCAATTCCGGGTTACAGTACTTTTCCTGCAAATTCTTAAGAGTGCAAACACTTTTGTGAGACATGGTATACATATGTATGCATTAGAATATCATTATTCTGTTAAAATTAATACCTGATTAAAAGAAAAACATAAATCTGTCGGGAGAAAAAATAAATATTATTCAATTGTTAAAAATAAAATACTTTGAAATCATTCATTTATGCTAATTTTTGTTAAATAAATGCCATTTACCTTTGAGTTACAGAGATTAGACAAGTCAGCATATAACTTTTCTTTCTCCAGAAACATAACTATTAATATTTTGCTGTTGATCAAATTCCTTATCAGTACTTAAACAGTAAATTTACACATAATCTGCCTTTTATAAATGCAATATGCAAGTCTTACATTTACAGGCTATAATCCAAAAGTCACCTTTTTTTATACCACTGATTTATTTTGTTTCAGGTGCACAGTATTTATTAATTACAACAGTATTTATTAAATTACAACAAAAGTAAATAAAAAAAACTATCCTCTTAACAGAAGGTATTGAAAATGACAACTGTGTTCCTCAGCTCACAAATCCAAACAATGTTTCTTGTCACTTTGTTTAAGTACTGATTGGAATATTACCCTTAGTTGTTTATATTATTCCATAAATCTTTCATGGTGCTTAAGTATTTGCACAACTACAATTAATGCTATTTGGCTAATTTTATGGAAAAAAAAAAAAAAAAGAATGTTTTATTGTACCAAAAAGTTTACAATTGGGTGCCCCTTGTTTCTTGGCGATTCTTTTTTTATGCCAAGATCGGCGCCAGGAGGGCACAATTTCAAGATGGCCACTAAACAAAACAAAATTAAGAAGTCAAAGAATTGCACAAACTCTGTGTCCATGTACACATCAATCTGATTTCACTTAAAAAAAATCCTAGAATTGCACAAACTACGCACTGCCTTAAATTTGTCCATGTACACATCAGTCTATTTTCCTTTAAATACAATCAGGAAGCTAAAACAAAGTTAAAACCATCATAGTAACCAAAAGTGATGTTTCATTGCCAAAATTTAAAAAAAAAATTGTCGCTAATCGAAGGGGCACCCAATTCTACACTAGAGCTCATGTTTTACACTTTAACTATATATTTATCAAAAAAATCAATAAACCTACTTACGAGAGAATTTTGTCTCTTTTGTTCTAGCTGAAATTTCATGGTAATTGCAAGAAGATATTTCCAAGTATCATTCCTTTACCAACTTTACCACAAAATATTGTATTCCTGCAGAAATTTTACCCTTTTTTTTTTTTCCTATTATAAGCGAATTCCACAAGTACAAATTTTAAAATTGAATATATGGCAGAAAGTAATCATAACTTTTATAAAAGCTGTTGGAATTTGGAGTAGAACAAAAAGAATGTGTTTGAAAATGGTGACTGCTTGTTAAAACTGAAGAACTGTTACGTGCATGTTGGCATATTCTGAAATTTTGGCAGCTTGTACTAAGGTAGTCGCGATAATACATTTAGTACCTTTTTTCAGTATCTTACCATAGCAAACTTCTATTTGTATGCAAGACTTATGGTACAATGACTGCCCACTCATCATGTTTGGGATTCTTTCCAGTTATGCACATGAGGTTTCAACAGAGGCCAAAAATATTTATCCAGACAGCATTACTCACAAATGTTAAAGTAAATACTCATAATGATCAAGTAAGTACTCATAATGATAATCTGTGACTTCTGAATCACACTTTATATATTACATATTAAAAATTTCCTTAAAAAATTAAGCAAAAATGCATTTTATTATTTCACTTAATTTTTGTGATGCATTTTTTTTTAATATTCATTTGTTTATAATTATTTTATTTCTCTCTTTACAATTTAAATTTTTACTGTGTTAATTTATTTTTCTTCCTTCTTTACTATTATTAAATGGTGACCATATACAAATGGCTTTTCATGAGGCTCCTGATTTTAAAAATCAAGCCCTGATTTATAAACCTCAGTTTAGAATAGAAATAGCTATAAGGAAATCCTTTATTTTCAGGGGTTCAAGAGTGAGACAGGAGACTTTAGTGCTGTGTACAGTATGCATTAACAATACTTTATTTAAGGTTAAAAATGCTCTATGTGTATAACATAATTAATTAATAGTAACTCTAATTATATATGCTACAGAAATAATGTACTTTATGTAGCATTCATTATGATCTGTGGCTTTATATACAGAAAAAAGCTTAATTACCTAACATCCAACAATTTAAAAATTTTATAAATTTGATTTTTTTTTTTTTTTTTTTTTTTACATAAAAAATTGAGCAAATGAGAAACTTGTAAAGCCGACATAAAGCACATATGGGACTACGAACTCAGAACAAGCAAACGTTGTCACCAGACAATGTGATTTAGTGCCAATAATGGTAGTTCGGTAGCCTATACCGATTGCAGGAAATTTTCCGCTAAAACATCGCTAAACAACAGTCGAAACGGCAGCAATTAGCATACAGCACTGAAATAACGCTAATAAGGGAGCGAAGCGAGGACAAAAGGTTCCAAAAAATGTGGCCGATGATGTAACTTGTCACGTGACACATAGCCAATGACAAGTAGAAATGACTGAACGTTGCCAGTTTTGAACATTAAATTTTTTTTACATATTTTTTTACAGTAAACTGGCATTATCGTCAATGTTTACATTCTAAGCTGTGCACGCGTTTTAGCAGCAGGCAAACTGATGTGTGTGGAGTTTTCATCTATGTAATTAAGCTCTTATTGATTGAGAGATTGCTGATTTGTTATTATAATATGAGCTGTATACTGTAGTTTTATTTTTGAAACTAAAAAATGCTTAGCGTATGTTTCCGGTTAATTTTTTTAAATATTTTCCTGTATATGCAGTTATTTTAAAATATTAGGTCATCATTGTGTGGAAGGACACTGCGAAATGGCTATGAAATCAGTTTGTATGTATTTTTTTTTTTTTTTTTCTTTTTGTAAAATAAGTTCTAGAATACATTGCTTTACAAATGTGCGCTTTTGCAGAAATATATATATAACTGCTTTTCTTTTCTTTCCGATCAATAAAAAACATCTAGGAAACTTTTGGGCTTTTACAGAAAAAAAAAAAAAAAAAAAGAGTAAAACTGGAAATATCACGCAGGGTTTGTTTTATGCGGCGGCTGTAAAAAAGAGTACGATTGTAATTGTAATAAATCATGCTAGCCGTTTTGTAAATGTTAATCTCGTTTTCGACAGAAAAAATTTTAAAAAAAATGTCTCAGTTTAGAATAGAAATGGAACTTATTATGAAATTTAAGGCTTTTGACATTTGTTATACCATACAACTAACTTTTCAACCTAATGAAATGTTAATAAGTGATCGTCATCATCTAACTCAGGTTGGTAAAAATATATTTCAGGGTGCCTCTTGGTAATTGCCACCAAGGCACAATTTCAAGATGGCCACTACACAAAACCAAAATAACAAGTCAAAGAATTGCACAAACTAGGTACACATCAATCTATTTTCACAAACTCGGCAGTGGTGTAGCTAGGATTCCAGCACCCAGGTACAACTGAAGAATTTGCCCCCCTTTTTGTGTGCCAAGAATGGAAAATCCCCTCTTACCCCACCCTAGCTACGCCACTGCAAACTCAGCATTGCACACTCCCTTGACTTTGTCCATGTACACATCGATCTATTTTCACTTTAAAATATCATAAGAATGATGTCAAAATTTGTAGCCAATCGAAGCTCAATAAACTTCATTTTAAATCATGTAATGAAATAACGTAAAAAAGGAAATCCATTTTATCTCCTATACGCACTACAAAAAGGAAATATTGACTTACCTTATTTAGAAATTTCAGTGTCTTCATTCTGTGGCACACAAAAATCCTTAACAGCATCCAAAAACTTTCTAAAATATCTGAACTAAAATATGCATGCTTCTGTCACCACATAAATTCACAAAAATAAGAGTAAAAAATATCCTCCGTTATGCCAGACTGTCGGTGACATTTTTTGCATGAAACTCTTGCAACGAAGCCATCTGAATGATTTTGACCTTACGCATTTCCTTTGTACGAACAGGATGCTTATAATGACTACTGAGTAAACTTTCATTTACACACCAGTCAATTAATGCTTTTGGTACTATTCCGTTTTGAGGACCGTAACAAAATTGCAGCGAAAATGTATGCGCAAAACGCCAAATCTAGCAAACGCGCCCATTTAACAGCGCGCCAAATCTAACGTACATCCTGATTTCAGATTGTGTAAGTTTATATAGTTCTATATTTCTTAAGACACCATTGAAATACTAGTTTAATTTTAATATCCTTTTTTGATTTTATATCCTTTTTTGATATCCTCTGGATTTACAATTTGGGAATTGCCCATGACGAAAAGTCTGCATTAGAATTTTAGGTAAATTGCAGAATCACCCACTGCTTGACGCGTTTTTAAGAATTGCACATACTCGGTATCCATGTACACATCGACCTATTTTCACTTTAAAAAAAAATTCCCAGAATTGCACAAAAATGTCAGTGCGCACACCCTTGATTTTACCTATGTACACATCGACCTATTTTTTTCACTTAAATTGACAAAAATCCAATTGTTTTTACCCTTGTAAAAAGCGGCAAACAAATAAGTGGGCGATTCTGCACTTTACCGAGAATTTTTCAAAGAAAAGGCATGATTCATTATAGAAAAATTATGTTTGAACAACGAACGAGATGAAATTATGCTTTAGCAATAACTCGATAGCAAAATAGAGATGCAGGCATCCATTCAGTTATGTTTAGCAATTTTTATATAAATTATAATAATGATCTGAAATAGTTATTTACTCTTATGCTTCCATCCAGTCATGCTTAGCCTTTTTTATATAAATTATAATAATAAAAAAGTATTATATGATATCAACCTTTCATCTAAATTAAAACATCAATCATAGGTAGTTATTTACTATTATACTTCCTTTCTTGCGTTATGGTTGCCACAGTTATTTTTGCCAGCACTGGTATTAACAATAGTTTGGCGAATTTTTACGGCCCTCAAAACCGAATAGTACCATGCTTTTTTTTTTTTTTTCCTTTTGTTTCAAATTGTATAGAAACTTCAAATTAATCTCATCACATTCAGCCATTTTACCTTGTACAGTACTAAATAAGCAAAGTGCTTCCTGACTGACATCTAATGCAGAAATAAACCCTTACAAATATTTTCCCATCAATCAAATTCACTGCTATCATGTCATAATAGGATTTGCATAACATTGAACTACTCAGGTTACCATAAATCAAACAAAAATTTGGCGATAAATGAAACAACAACTTGGCGATAATACAAGGGGCACTCTAAAATACAGACTAACCCTCAGCTTGATGCATTATTATCACTGCCACTGTCTCTCAATTTTCCAGTTTCTTTATTATATTCTTAATTTTGGAAAATAAAACTGTTGTGTGCCTTTGTTGTCTCTCCTTCTGTTTATATGTGCAGTTATGCACATATAAGTAGTTCATTCCGCTTTTAAATGTTGTTAAGTGTTTAAGTAAGTCCCCTGTAAGTTCATAGCAGTTGCTGATCTTTCTGATTGTTAGCAGGCCTGCTTTCAACATACAATAAACTAGCCTTGTTTTGGGCATATTTTTAAGTGTACATGTTACAATAGCCAGTACAGTCATGTGTTTGAGTATACATGGAATTGCACACTTTGTATTTAAGTGAACAATATCCATCAGCTGTGAAAATGGTAATATCATCCATATGGATAATTTTTTTCCCCTTATAAATTTCTTGTTTCGGTACTATTCGGTTTCGAGGGCCGTAAAAAATCGCCAAACTATTGTTGATGCCAATGCTGCCAAACATAATTACGGCAACCCTAATAATTGCGGAAAGAAAGGAAGTATAATAGTAAATAACTATCTAAGATTGATGTTTTAATTTAGATGAAAGGTTAATTTCATATAATACTTTTTTATTATTATAATTTATATGAAAAATACTAAACATGACTGAATGGAAGCATAAGAGTAAATAACTATTTCAGATCATTATTATAATTTATATAAAAATTGCTAAACATAACTGAATGGATGCCTGCATCGCTATTTCGCTACCAACTTATCGCTAAAGCATAATTTCATCTCGTTGTTTGTTCAAACGTAATTTTCTATAATGAATGATGCCTTTTCTTTGAAAATATTCTCGGTAAAGTGCAGAATCGCTCACGTATTTGTTTGCCGCTTTTTACAAGGGTAAAAACAATTGAATTTTTGCCAATTTTCTTTTACTTTTTAAGTGAATAAAATTACATAGATAAAGCCAAGGGTGTGCGCAGTGCCATTTTTGTGCAATTCTGGGATTTTTTTAAAGTTAAAATAGGTCGATGTGCACAAGGATACCGAGTATGTGCAATTCTTAAAAACGCGTCAAACAATGGGGGATTCTGCACTTTACCAAAAATTCTATTGCCGACTTTTCGTCATGGGCAATTCCCAAATTGTTAAATCCATAGGATATTAAAAAGGGATTTAAAATCAAAAAAAGGATTTAAAAATTAAACTAGTATTTAAAAGGCGTCTTAAGAAATATAGAACTATATAAACTTACGCGATCTGAAATCAGCGTGTACGCTAGATTTGACGCGCTGTTGAATGGGCGTGTTTGCTAGATTTGGCGCTTTTGCGCATACATTTTCGCCGTCATTTTTTACGGTCCTCAAAACGGAATAGTACCCTTGTTTCTTATAAAAAATTATTATTGCTATTTATGAACTGGTCAACACCAATGAGCTATAAAGATAGCTAAACAATTGCTTTTGGTCAATTTCAAAGTCATAATTGGTATCCTTCCATGGGAATGTAGATAATCAAAAATTAGTGAACTGCTTTTTCACTTTTAAATTATTTCAACTTACTATTTTGAGAAAAGCCGTAGTTTTATATAAAGTTTAATAATTTATTTCTAAATATATCAACATTATAAAATATGGTATTTTAAATTAAATATTCTGCTATTTTAGAGTTTATTTGCAGTTGAATGCAATACATATGTAACTGTAGAATTTTTTATGTATTGATGTTTGAGGCATACAAGGTGAACAAAATATTTCACAAAAATGTAGGATAAGTAGAATTGACAAAAATGAGCATATTTTTAATATGATGTTTTTGTGTAGAAATGATTCACATTTGTGCTAGCATGTAAGAAAGATATTACCAACATGCCAGTCAATCAAAAGAAACATTTTGTTGGCTCCATTTTTTATAATATATGCTTGAAAGTGAGCATTCCTAAATCTAATGAGATTCCTAAATCTACACCAATACATATTCGCTGACATTATCATTATAATCACTAAATCTGCATATTTGATTTAAAATCGGATTATTTCAGTCCCTTCTACTTGTCTTTACATTTTTGCCGGATATTTTATAATCATCCTATGTATGACAATGGGATTTGGGTTTATAATTTTCTTGAAAAATCATTAATTTCTGTCTTTGTTCAGTGAATATTAAATCAAACTTCTGTAACCAATTAAGTGAATGAGGTCATTAAAAAATAGTAATTTAACCTACATATGATTTCCTTTTAACCCGCGAGCACACGCACCGGGTATCTCATACTCAAGGGCATATTCTTTGTCCCATATCTCAAAATCCCTTTCCTGGAAACGGACGAAACCTTTTGTAGCTGAATTCAAGGTCACATTCATGAAGCTGGGAAATCCGTGGAGTAATTCTTCAAATACTTTTCTGGAAATTGTACCGTTTGAGTATGTAATACCCCTGCGCCTTCTCGTGTTCGTAATTTTTGCGCGCATGCTCATGGGTTAATAGATTGCCTGCATTAAGGAAGACTTTATGGTTTTCCTATGTTTAATGCAAATATGAGAGCTAACCCATGGAAACTCCTCCACAAAACATTTCTTCTAAGGCTGATGGCATTTGTATAGCTTGCCATAAGTATTTAAATAATTCTTACCAAAAAGCCATGAACTCATTGGTGATTTTGGAAAGCATTTGTAAACTTACTGGGAACTTTAGAGAGAACAATTTTTTAGATATCTTTGCATTATTTCCTTGACAAATTTTCCATGCAAGACTCGCCCATTTCTTGATTTTTCATACTGTTCTTCATATGTACACAGCAATCTGTTTGCTAATTAAAAAGATACGAGAATTTCACAAATTCAGCATCACTGACGACCTTGGTGCCAAAATTCTAAAATAAGAAGGAAAAAGAGGTACATGAGGACTTTAGGTGAGCCACATTACATTGCATGCAAAAAGTCCAAAATTTCACAGATAGCGATGAAAATTGCATGAAGAACATAATACTATTTAGAATGTAGAATATCGTAAAGACTAAGAAACTTGACAGTTGAGGTGGTTTTAATTCCATTTTTATTTCCAGTTGACATTTGTGGCCACAGTCACTTAGCATTCTAATCATGCCTATTTACAGAACAATTACATTTTTGATACTTTTGCGATAGAAAGGGAGCTCAGCAAAATTACGTACAAGCAGCACACAGACAGAAGCTAAAGTGCATAGTTATCCAATATGGAAGCACATGAAGAAGAAAGGTTTTGGTTTAAGTTCTCAAAGTTTAGGTTTTCAATTACTGTGTCATCAACATTGCACGAGCTTTGTGGCATAGATTAATCTAGAAATGATGCAGTCCAAAAATGTTATTATTATTTTTAGAATGAAGATGGGAGTTAAAAAAGCTATTATTAATTCATTATTTGAAAGATAGATATTTTATATTTTACATATATGTGTGTGTGTGTTTGAAACCTATTTCTCTCTTTTTGAACAATAATTGTTTACCTTAAAAGTTTCTTTAGTTATTAATAATATAGCATAATGACAATAAGCATATCAGAGTAGAGAATGTGTTTATACTTGGTGGAGTTCCAGCCTTGTATCTGGGCCCACCAGCAGCCGAGTGGTAAAGTCGCTGAACACTGGTAGTTCGGTCCGAGGTTCGAATCCCGCGAACGGGCTGGCTGCATGGGTGTTTTCGTGGTTTTCCCCATGTGTAACGTGTGTACAAGCCAGTTCCCTTAGAAAGTCCTCCACGAAGGCATCCCTCCCCTTAGGCAGATAGCCCTAGTGTGCTTTGCCATAATTAATTAAAATACACCACCCTTGTATCTAACAGCTAAATGTGGAGGAACCTAGTGAACAGCTAAGTGAATAATCGCTTTAGTTCAGAAACAGAGACGTAAACTCAAGAAGGGTTAAATACCCATTTCTCAAAATGAGAATTAAACAGATAGCTCCTTTTTCAGGGCATACAGCAAAGCCTCCACTTGGGCATGAACTCAATAAGAATTAAGACTTAACCAAAAAGATATAGCCGAAGCTATCAAAATTCTAAGTAGTTGGTCCCTAAATATTGAATAAGCTAGTGAAGCTGTCAAGGGCCAGTAATATGGCCAAGCGTATTACTTAATAGAAACGTGACCATAAGGCAAATGCGTGCTATTTAGAAAACTCTGAGGCTATCTCTCGAAGTCAGTGGAGCTTCGGCTTAAATACCACTCTTACTCATTTGCATTAAATGCGATTCTAAAAACACATTCTGGTAGAAAATTGTAAGCTGAATTTAGGAAGGACAGGAAACTAGCTTTAACTAAACTTAACTATTAGAAACTTTGGATAAATCTTACACACTTAACATATAATTTAAGCATTGATTTTTGATAGATACTTATAATCTTCAGTTTTTATTTGTATTAATATATATATTATTCATTTCTTTTTAAAGTAGCTGAGTATTATAATAAAGGAGAAATGAAAGTGATGGACAAAGATCCAAAAGAACAATTCAGAGATCTTCCAGATAATACCATAATAGTGAAAGTGAAGCGTGGAAGTAAAATAAGAAATATAATGGGATTTGTTGAAAAAAGTTTCAAGGTATTTGAAATGTTCTTCCTCTCTTGCATTTAAAAATGTAGTATTTATAGTTGCCAACTGTCCCAGTTTTTCTTTACATCTCCCGGTAGATCGCAAAATTTTCTGTTTTTTTAATTTTTAGCCTTTACTATAAAAAATGTTTCTCAATGATAAATGAAATTTATTGAATTGATGAAGCTTAATTAAACAAAAAACATTGCCCCATCTCTAATGAGTTTGGGAATATTTTTTCCTGTTAAACTTGTATTTCATCTGAATTGTGTTTTTTTGTATTACATTTTATTGATCTTATTAAATTTCATTTGATCTGAGTTGTCTTGATGTACTGTAGGCATTTGTAGATTTTTATATGCGGATTCAAGCAATGTGTAATCAGTTAATATTTTTATTTAATTTTTTTTTAACTTCAAAATATGATACATTACTAAATTTATCCACACAAGTACTATATACATTAATTATTAATTTTATTTCCATTGTATTTAACCGCTTGCCTGATTATCCCGAGTTATCTCGGGTTCGTATATATTGCAGTTAATTATTATCCCGAGAAAACTCGGGCGAAGCAGAATTGGTTAGTACGATTTCTTTTATCACGGCTTTACTTGGTTTGGAGGAAATGAAAGGAAATATTTAGCTTTGATTGGAAGTTTGCCAAATTTTGTTGGTTGCGCGGTTCTTTTGGAGGGACTGGTCGCGTGTTTCCCTATTCTATAATATACGTTGACTTGTGGATTAGTAATGTATAAAGAAGGATGCATGCATTGGAAAAAAATAAAATAATGGCAATGATGGAAGATAGCGAAAGCGATGATTTTTCAGATAGTGATTATAAAAAGGTGGGGGGAAAAAAATCCAACGAGACAGTGTACTCTTTGCTCCCATGAAAGAGATTCCAGCGGTAAGCCAGTAAGAAAAAAGACCAGATACCAGTGTAGAACGTCAGGTATCACTCTGTGTTGTCCCTTGTTTCAAAAACTATGATACCAAGATTAATATTTAACTTTTTTCGTTTGCTCGAGCTAACTCGGAATAATAAACTAATATTAAAAATAAATGCTTTTACACCTTCAAAAAATTAAAAATTCAACTTAAAATCTGCATATTTTGATTTGTTTTGTTTTGTTGTATTTAATAATAAAATAAAAAAATGTGATGATTTTTTGCAATTTTTTTCAAAAAAATTTGTAAAGGAAGCAGTTAAAAGTAGTTTGATAAATAAATGCTTTACCTCACTACTCAGGATTTTCTCAATGTAAAGTGAAAGAAAATTGCAAAGTGAAATTAGCCAAAGAACGTAAAAATTAGAATATCCAATTAAATGCTAATATATTTTACACCAGAATTGAATGGCATATAGTTCAATAACCTGAATCATGCATTGTAAAGGGAAATAAAGTTATTCTGGAGTTACTTTGAAATGGTGTCACAGCACAGCTTGAAAACAATATGGTTTCTTCCAATTTTTAAAATTTCAAGTTGGCAGTTGTGATATTTGTGTAATATAACCAAGATCAGGTTTAATGCATCCCTTAAACCCGAGTTGTGACGTGTCTTTGACTAAGCCCTATGTTCATGATTTTCAGCTCTCAATCCAAGTTCATATTTCCAGATCAAGACATCTCTTTAGAAACCACATGTGGTGAAGATACTAGGAGAGGATACAGGTTGTGATGGTAATATCAGTTTGCAGTTTGGTCATAATTAGGATGGCATTTGATTATAGATCACAACAGTTGCAAATGTGATTGTGCATGAGTTAGCAAGTATCTTTAAAATACAGTCAAAAGTCGTTAATCCGGACTCGTCGGGACTTCGGCGATTCCGGATTATCGATTTTTCCGGATTATAGATCATCAGTTTAAATCTGATAAGATGGCATGCAGAAATTATAAAATTAAAAATATGAAACTGTAATTTATGAAATAAAGAACAATTATGATCTAAAGGGTATCAAAATTTACACACAAAAAAAAAGCTTAATATTTATTTGTGTACTTTATTAAACATTTCTTTCAATGTAAGTTGTTTAAGTTGCTTCGTTTTTTATGTGGTAATACATTTTCTTTAATTCTATAAACAGACATAATTTCTTGTTCAGTTACAAAGTTCCGCTGTTCAGGTCCTATAATTGCTGTGTTGAGAATACCGACTAATTTGTCAATCGAAATTTTTTCGTTTTCAATAAACTCTGTCACTTTCTTGGCTATCGGAAGCAAATTATAATGACAATGAATTTGATTTAAATAATATCAAAGACGGAGTACATCGAGATGAAATACTACATTTAGTAAGGAATTATAAGCCAAATGAAAAAAAAAAAAAAAATCTGCCCTGAAGATAAGGATAGTGCTGACAGATCAACTTCCAATTCATTGCATGCCACACTGCAATGTTAAAGATAAACAAAGTTTAGATAAACAAACATTCAAGTTTAGATAAACAAAGGGTATGCCTTTATCCATTTTTTGCAGCAATTCCACTTTTTGTTTAATGGACTTTGAAGCATACTTTCGCTTTGTAGATCCTTTACATATTAGTAAATATATATCAGAAATTCTTTTTGACATAATCAAAAGTTCAAGCTTACTTTTATAAAATTGCTCTAACAGTCTGCAAAAAATAATAACCCGGATCCAATTCGAAGATCAAGGAACAACGCAATCTGCAACATTAACTGAATTAGATAATTTTAGCTTAGCTTATACTGTCCTTTATACATTAAACGCGCATTCGTAAACGTATTTTGCGCACGCGCACATACATATTCGCAGACGTAAATGTCTTACGTGCATGCATCAACGCGACGCATGCGCAGAAAGTTTGTAGCTTTGAGGTCCGGATTATGGGTGTCCGAATTAATGACTTTTGACTGTATATGTGATTTTCACCTGCACCGCACTGAGATTGGAGTGCAAGTTTCAGGAATCAGACAATCTATCCATCAACAATCAATGCGAGGAAGGCTGTACATCTCAGCTGTTTTCACTGCTATGCTAATACATGCCTGAGCCTCAGCTAAGAATCTGTCTGTGTAAAAAAAATGTGTATTTTGTGATGTAGTCCTTTAGAAACTGTTCATATCAAGTATGATTGTACCTGACAAACTGTTCTGTAATTAGCTGCAAAACAGTGGCGTAGCGAGGGGGCAAGGGGGTGTATGATGCCTCAGGCGCTGCTCACAGAGGGGCGCAAAATGGTCTTCAAACAAGATTTTCATCATATCACTTTGTTTTTTTCGGAGGGAGTGGGTGCCAAAAAGGTATTTTGCCCCGGGTGCCAGTTATGCTCGCTACTCCACTGCTGCAAAATATCATTAGTCAGCTTAGTCAAACATGCCCATGACAGAATGTTTGATTTCTATAAGATAATGCAGGATCATTGGATCTGTTGCATAACTCAGATCTTGTACTAACAGATTTGCCATATTTTTTGGTACTGAAGTGTGCCATCGCAGACAAGCCTTTGTTCAAGGAAACTGGAATGAATGAGTAGCTGGCAGATTTCTGTGCTTTTCAGTTTAATAGAGTTTTTAGAATGTAAATGTAGAACAGCAACTATTTTTAAAATATGCCTGAAGATTTCACAGGAATGTTTTGGTGCATATAGTACCAACTTTTTGCAGCAGTCAGATTTTAGTTTTATATAAAATATGCGTAAAGGAAGCAGCCAGCATTTTACTAGTAACTTAAGAGAGAAAGTATACTAATATTGCTTTAGGGATGAGTCAAATTTCAAATTCTTTACCTTCAAATTTTTAGAGGCTCAGAACTGAAAACTTCTTTCCTTTCAAATTTTAAAATGCGAGTAAAAATAAAAATTTTCTTACATTATAACTTACGTATCTATGTTTATGTGTTAAATAATTACTTCTAGCAAGAGATTTATTCTATATTTTAGTATACCTGTATTTTCCATTCAAATTAAATCTTCTTATCTTGAAATATAATTTTTTGCCCATATTACTGTATGATAAACTTTATTAGTAATTATATTCAACATTTTTGGAAGTCATCTATCAAACTCTACATTAGAGTTTCCCAAACTTCTCTCATCATAGAAAACTTTTTATGTTTTAAAGGTCTAAAATTTTGAAGAAACATTAGAATAAATTTGTATTTTTTATTATAATAAATGAAAGCACAAATACTCTATTAGATAAACAAAATACACAATAATTCCAATTTTTATGTCATATAAAAAATTTCAATTTTTTAATGTTAAAAAGAAGAAACAAAAAACTAATTAAATGAAAGAAGTAATGTGGAAGGAAATAAAACATCATTTTTAGTTTTCAGTCACTTTGATGTCTTTGATTTAAAAATTTGAAGGGTTTCTTTTTACTAGTAAATAAGTGATTGTGAAATAATGAGTGAAATTTAACTTTTTTTTGGTATATTTCCATCATAGTGGAAAATCAAAAAAAAAAAAAAATTTTTTTTTGTACAAAAGTACTTTTGATGACTGAAAATGTTACTAGTTAGTAAAAATTTTATATTTATGTATACTTTCAAAAATAGAATAAAATAAGTAAAAGTTCTAAGGAAACCAAGACTTAAAAAACAATAAGGTAACATTAGAAACACATCTTTATTTCTGAGCACAGAACAGAAACTGATGTTGATAAAAAACAGAAATGCATTTCATTAACTAAAGGTAATGATTAATCTGCTATCATACATCCATTTGTTTCAGAAGAACAATTGTTTGGAACAATTTTTCTGCTTTGTCACAAGAGCCAATTACCACAGATCGCTTTTGAGTTAATGCAGGGGAAACTGGTTCTCCATTACAAACAAGCTGATAGCTGATTAGTTGAAAAAAGAACAACTTGCAATTTTTTTAGAAAGAAATGAAAAAATTGCACATCTTTCTTTCAATAGTAAACTAGACAGAAAAATTGTCGGAAACAGTTGTTGTGTGAAACAATTGCTTGTGTTATATGGACCTAAGAGTCCAGCAAAATAACCAATTTAGGGAAAAAGTCTTGACCAATATCAGCGGAAGATTAATACTGTTTACAAGTAAGTGATATTTTTTTAGTGATGAGAGCCATGTGTTAAACTATACTGCTGTTTCAAAAATAGTTTTCTTGGCAATAAAAGTGAGTGAGCTTAACTGTGATTAGATTTTCTTGATTTGAGACAAATTTTTGTTAGAAAAATTAGTCTTATTTCAAGTTAAAAGTAGATTGTGCTTATGGATTAAAATAACCATAATTGCTTTTCTTTTTCTTTCTTTTTTTTTTTTTTTTTTTTTTTTTTTCAGTTAGTATGTTAACATAAAAATGCTTTACAGTTTTTTTAATAACTGAAGAAACATTCTTAATTTTTTGAGTTAATTATCTAAAATTATTTTTTATGACCATGTCAATTTACACTACAGATTTCTTTTTTCAGGAAGAAACAAATACACATATGATATTCACAGGATGTGGAGATGCTATTGAAAAAACAATAACTTGTGCAGAAATCTCTAAAACTAAGTTCAAGGTAAGATCACATACTTTATGTAATTTAAAATAAATGAGGTAAAATTAATGTAGATTTATTTAATGTAATATAGACCAAAAATATAATTATGTAGTGGAATTTTTGGATGTAGAAAGTATGTTTAGTTGCTTTGAACAGTAAATTGTCTGAAATGATGAAAAAAAAAATCGTAGTTATTTATATTGATTTTTTTTTTCTTTACTTATTGTGGTCATCAAATAGAAAAAGGGAAAAATTAAAATTTACTGTTAATCCATGTATTATTTTACAAATGAATTGTGAATACTTCCTGTTATAATTTGGATTAGACTGTATACTATTTCATTTAAAAAATGTGTGCACTTTGTGTCGCTATCATTTACATTTATCATTATTTAAATTCAAGAATGATCTATCATAGGAAGAGCGCATCTCATTTTTATTTAAAGTATTTTTACATTTTGCATGTTGTCATTCTGTGAACAGTATAATAAGCAATTTAATATTAGAAACAATCATGCATATAAAAAATAAACATACCTACAAATACAAAACTAATAAATATTTAATATAACATTGCAGTAAAATTAATTCAAATAATTGCAGTTTCATAGATACAATTTATAGATACAGCCTGCAGCAAAAATAACTCACACATTTCAAAGAGGGGTTGAAAAATATATTACAAGCTATCATTAAACATTTTTTATTCCTCAAATGTAAATATAAAAAAGTTATATTATTTTAAGTTTTAAAAATTACATCATCTAAATGGTGGTCTTGACGGCTGATACACATCTGGAACCATTCTTGGAAGTTTTCCATCATTCTCTCTAGCATGCCAGGTGAAATTCCTTCAGTTTCTTCTTGAATAGTCTCCTCAAAGTCTGCTGGAGACAATTCCTGACCAATCATAATTTTGTAAGGGTGTAAATGAAGGTCAGTATGCAAAATTCACATCAGAGTTTTTTCTGTAATCTGAGGGTTATTTTATACTGAATGCATTTGAAACAGCTGAAATGAACCCAATTCTAGAAGAAGGAGAACACAATAAGCACATCTTAGAACACCATATGCTGTACTTGACCATTGAACTAAAGAATATGAATAGATCCTCTGATTCCTTTGAAATTCTTTAACTAAGTTGTCAGACAGCGCTTTGTTCAAGGCTGATGTTATGATGGACATGAAATTTTTGCTATTGAAGGAAATAGGAAGTGATGATTTTTATGGGCTTTATGCTATACTATTGATTCATATTTTAGGTAATGTAACTTCCTTATTGGCCGTATTCAGTATAAATGCTGGTTACATTCTGGGATCTTCAACAAGACAGAATATTTTTAAAGTTACTGTAAATAATTAGAACTTTTTATTCAAAATTTCTGAAGATATATGTGAATTTATATATTGGTGCATTTTGAAATTTGTCATATTTATTGAAAGCGATAATAAAGAAAATGTGGTTTACGCACTTTGTTAAAATTATTTGAAAGTAGAAACAATGTGACTTTTTTTCCGCACATCCCACAATGTAAAAAGGTAAAGAATGATGTGACTTTCTCCTGTACAATGGAAGGGAAAGGAAAATAGGTTACCATATATTAAAAAGTTCATCAAGTGAATTATTCTTGGCTCAAACTGAAAAAAATGCAGCAAGTTAAGTTTTTGAAAATCTCCATAAATTTCGCACCAAATTTTACAAAATTTTAATATTTAGGCATAATTTGAGTCGTAGAATCGAAATATGGGGAAAAATTGGTATGTTATTTCAGAAAAAGTCTCATTTTGTGAAATACCTGTATTGGAAAAAAGCTATGTATAAATCTATTATATACCTTAAGTCGTGCTTTCGAGACATGAAAAATGCAATTTGAATTTCTTCAATTGGCCCAGTAAAATAGGAGATATGGAACTCTCCCCCCTTTTGGGGGACAGGCGCAGTATACAGCATATGGGTATGAAAGAAAGCTTCATCTTTTGAGGTTATTACACTCAAATCAACCCAATTTTTGGTATCTTTATATTAATGAAGATATGGGATGTGAAATGCTGTTCAGACAGGCGATGCGTTACCAATCAAAACAAGCAGTAATCAGAAGGAGCAATGTCTGGGGAATACAGCAGAAGGAAGGGGAACTTCTCATTTGAGTGTTTCTGGGTAGGTTTTAACCAGCGCCATTACATGTATATGAATGTTATCGTGCAGGAGAATAATTTTGTCATGTTTGGAGTAGTAGTGGGCACATTTTCTTTTGAGTGCTTGGCTCAGTCTCATCAGTTGTGTTCGCTAGAAAACCCTAATAATGGTTTCATTCTGTTTCAGCAACTCATAATACATGACACCAAGTTTATCCCACCATATGCACAACATGATTTTTTTTCCATGAATATTTTTCGATGTTAAAGCATGGCCTGGTGGTACCCATGATTTCTTCTTCTTTGGGTTATCGAAGTGAATCTATTTTTCATCACCAGTAATTATACAATGCAAAAAAACCTTTTCATTTATGCCTGGCAAGCAGCATTTCACATATAAAAAACCAGCATTCAATGTTCCTCAGCTTCAGCTCATATGGAACTCAATTTCCTTGTTTTTGGAATCATTCCCAATGATTTTAAACATTGTGAAACTGCATGTTCTACTTGGATTTGGCATGAATCTTCATCCTGTAATGCTTTCTATACTGCGATTTCATACAATTTCATCCTTCCATTAATGTTCCTTGTATTCAACATCTAATTCACCATTCATAAACTTTTGAAACCACTCATGACAACTCCCTCACTTAAAGTGCCTCACCTTACACTTCAAGTAATTAATGCACCTCAGCTGGAGATTTCTTCAAATTAAAGAAGTAAATCAAAAGCTCCTACAAATAATGCACATTCAGCTCAAAATTCAACATTTTCATATAAAAAATATATATGATGCTGATGAAAAATCACTAATGTTTCAAGGTTATGTTGTGAGCAGCTGTCCAACCTTATGATATGGCATTTGCCATCAGACAATTTTAACCATACTTAATGGTGATGCCATTTTTTGTTAAACAGTGGAGAATTATTTGTACTTCCTATCTATATCTAAATAAAAGTTTGACGAGCATTTCCTGTGTATAATGTCATTGCACAAAAGTATATTTTTATTTATGAGGAATTTTTGCCTATATAAAGCAATTAAAAATAAAATACAAAAAAAAATTTCATGAACATATGTACTTCAGTTTTTACCATGTAGATCAAACTAGATAACTGTGTGCTGATGTTTGAAAAGCAAACTTAATATTCATACTAAAATAAAGTGACCACACATCCCAATTTTGGCGGGACAGTCCCGCTTTTTGGAGGACTGTCCCGTGTGCCACCGATTTTTAAAAATATCCTGCTTTTTTAGAAAACATCTGCATTTCTTATTTTTAATGTACTGTAAAAATATATTACCTATTATTTATTAGTTATATAGATAGTTAGTTTATTAGTTATAATATTATTTATTAGTAAATATAAATAAATAAAAAATACATAAATAAAAAAAACATATAAAATTCATGCAGAGTAAACTAAATTAGGCGATGTAACGAGTTAGATTTACTTGGTGGTGTTCGATCATTGTCGTTATGTCTGATCAAAAAAATGTGTTGTTAACGAAGGAACAGCTAGCATTAGCTGAAGGGCTATTTGCTTTCCACACCATAAACCACAATCACAGTTTCAGATCAATTGATTGTACGTCGCAAATGATCAAAATATTGTACGACAAAAAATTTGCATGTGCGAGGACAAAAAGCGAAGCAGTTATTTGTAATGTTTTTCACTATATTTGTTTTCGCAATTGCAGAAAGAATTAGATAAATGCACATTTAGCTAATATCATATATTATGATGCTTCCAACTACAAAGATTTAAAATTATTTCCCACAATTGTTAGACTTTTTGATCCAGAAACAGGGATTAAAATTAGAATATTAGGATTTGTTTCATTGCCGGGTGAAACTTCATAAATAATTTTTGATTCAATAAGTACTATTTTAAAAATGAATAATTGAACAATAAATTATTACCTATTGTGAGGATACATGCAAATTTGGTGGAAAGCTAGAAGAGGATCAATAACGTTTTTATGAAACTTACATTTGAACCAAAAATTATTGGAGTAGATTGTGCAGCACACATTCTACACAGTACTATTCAAACAGCATCTGACTTACTTTCAGTGGATCTTGAAAATATTATTGTAAAAATTTATTCGTATTTATATAAATATATACTGTGCGTGTTGAAAGTTTGAAGGAATTTTGTGAAAGCGCAGAAATCGAATATAAAAGAATTGGGTGACATTAAAAAAGGAAATTTTATGGAAATATGGGGGGAAAATCCTTTTAATATATCAGTAACCATTTTCCGAAAAATAATATTTGCAAAAATGATCTGTTTGATAAGGTGTCATTGGTAAAAAGATATGTTACTTAAGAAAAAATTAAATGTTGGTTATCTACATATGTGGAAACAGACAAAAGAATGGACGGAGTTATTCCTTCATTTTAAACAGAATAATATTCCTTATGAAAATATTTTGAAAACTGTAGAACACACTCCCTTCCAGGAACAAATGCAGCAATGGAATGTGTTTTTTCTAATATCAATAAAATATGGACAATTGAAAAAAAAAAAAAAAAAAAAACAGTTGAACATTAAAACTTCAAAATCTGTATTGAAGGTAAAATATAATTTGACCAACTCATGTGAGAAATTTCACGACATTTTAATAAATGATCTGAATCTATTGCAAAGTATTCACTCGGATAAAAATATGACCTTGAAAGAAAATTAATTTTTTTAATAAAATTTTAAATTAATTAAAAACATACTATTCAAATTATAGTTTTTTACAAATATTTTTATATTTACCAATAGTTAATAATAAATATGTTTTTGTACATTTATAGACAAGTATATGAATGCATACAATGAAATATATTTTTTTGAATTATTGGTCTGCTTTCATAACTAAATTACAATTTTCATTTCATTCCATTTGTCCTATTTTGTCTCAATGAAAATGTGGTCACTTTATGCTAAAATGCAAATGTTCATATTTTCTTTCTCTGTTGTATAACTTTTGGATTAAAAAAATAAAGTAATTTTGGCAGATGCAGTGTTAATATCCTTTTCACACCTGAAGTTAAAGCAGCTAATTTTAAAAAAATGGAGGTGAAGTTTATATGCTTGTTTTCTGTCTTTAAATAGAAAAAAAAAAAAAAAATAGTGCATGTATATTTGCGGACCAAAAAATCTAGATACACATATGTGTACCTTAGGATTCAAATAAGCAAATAATCTCATATTTCAACAATTATTAATTTTGGTATTTAAAGCATCCATTAGTTTATAACGGGAAATAAAACATGATACAAAGTATAAATTCACAACAGACCTCTTAATTTACATAAAAAAAAATTAAGTAAATTTAACTAATATTTTATCTTTACCAGTACATTATTTTGTATGAAACCTTTCAAAGCTATTTTTTAAAACACATAAGTGCATTTTGCATTTGGTACAGAACACTCATGTTCTTGATGTACACCCTAACATTCTACATCTGGATGCATTTTTATCATCCATGAATCTTGGAAGGTGATTTACATCATCAAGACATATATCTTTTACTGGTTGAAAAATCACTTTCCTCTGCTTTTTGAAATACTGTTTCTCATCTGAGCTTGAAGAGAAGTCTTGGCTTTCTTTTATTAATTATTATATTTCCTTCATGTGTGCAAAGTGCTATTGCAAGTGTCATTGGATATTCCATGAGGGATTTAATGCCCGTTAGATTGTTTTGCTTGTAATATTGTATGTGTATCACCCAACAGTTTGAAATCACTAGATCCACAAAATGGGTGAAGACTCTAACTGGCCATTTTTGTATCTTCACAGCACACCTACAGTAAGCTAAGTATCAGTCTTAGAGATCAGTTCCTCCCATCGATGTGCTGTAAGCCTTTGATACCAGGTTCAGGAACATCAATTTTTTTTTTTTCTTTTTTTGACCACCTTTTGTACGGTAATAATGGTTTGTTTCCAATGTGTGTTGATAAAAGCATTACAGTCTTATTGTCTTTCCATTTAACGAGGTACATCCTGTCATTCCTTACTATTTCATCCCACCCTTCTCTGTTCAGTTCTTTGTTAATTTTTAATGTATTCTGGACATTGTCAAGCCTGTTGCATATGATTATTCCAACAATGTGTATTTTGGTTTTCAGTATATATTCAGTGCATTTTATACCCGCAAAATATCTCTCTGTATATAGAACCATCTGAACCATGAGTGAAAACTTTTCATGTGCATGCAGCGAGTTTCTTCTTAATACCTTCTCCGAAACCATAAACACACACATCTTCTGCTGAGACACAACCTTTCCCATCATAAACTGCACACATTAGCATCAAACCATCCTTTCTGGACAGAACAAAATTTTTTTGTCCCATGGGATTCGGCTTGTTTGGGACACATTGCCGAAGGGCACAACTGCCTGTGAAAGGGATCATTTGCTCTTCCAAAGAAACGTTTTGGAGTCAAGGCAAACTAAGGCATTTTTCCTTGATGGGATTTTAAAAGGGTTGTAATTTCTGTAGTTTATCCCTGTTTCATAAGATGCTGAATCGTCTGAAAAATGCAGATTTTGGCTGAGAATGAATATTCTTGCCTTTTGGCATTGTTTGAAGAAAACGTCCTATTGACAAGTCTCTTGACAAGTTCTGTTTTGCTTGTGAGAGTTTCAATATGCGCATCGAAATGTGGAGCCTCATAAGCCGCATTATTTCATTTGCATTCCTGCTTACAGATTTATGTCTCTACTAGATAGAGTGTAGATTATTAGTTTGAGCTGCTATTTGTTAAAAAATTTCCATGCTCAGGTATTAAAAAAATTAAGTCAATGGTTATAGAGGCTCTGGAGCATCCTCAAAGTAATTCTGCAAGCATGACAATTTCTCAGTCATCCTGCAATGATAGTTGTTCTAATAAAGTATTTAAAGAGCTTTAAAAATAACAAAATAGTAAATAATAATTTTCTTTAAGTATACTTGACTTTTAGTAGCTATATTTATTAATTTTTACATTTTTTGTAATTGAAATTTCTTAAATATATGATATGTAACAGTCAAGAGGAAAGCCATGCATTAAATTTTATGAACAATCTTACATTTTCCTTTTCCTTCAAAGATTATGAAACGTGTATTTTAATATTCAGAAATAAAACAAAAAAAGGGTAAAAACAACCTGTGAAATATAAGTTATTTATCATTACTATTAAATATTATTTCTGAATAATCAATTATGTCGTCAGTGGTTTGTTTCTGAAAATATAAACTTTAGAAACAGCAATTGAAATTCAGTAATTTAAAAAATGTGCCAGTAACAGTTAAGCCTATTTTTCCTAAGGGACTAATGTACATATATGTGGACCCATATACATTTCCATGCAGTTCAATAAAAAATCACTTTAACCAGCAAAAAACAACATTAAACAAAAGCTCTAATTTAAGTATCTCTAAATATTCATTTTTAAACATTAATTATTAAAGTATTAATTAATTTATTTATTATTAATGTTTTTGAAGATTCTCTGATGCCACCATTTTTTAAATACAATCTGCTTGTAGTTCTGGTTTTTTTCAAAAGTACATACATGTGCTGCCATCCATTGGTAAAATGAAAAGCTCAAACATCCACATATAAGCTAATTAGGTTGCAATTGAGTAAATGTTTATTGGAATCTTACCAGCGGTGCAACATAGAAGATCAACATATGTGGATCTCTGTAGACTGGAGTCAAATGATAATCATTAACAACTGTTTAAAATCTGTATGTCAGCCTTAACAAATTTTTTTTCAGAATGCATCCATTGTCACATTTTTGTTGGGTCAACCTGTGTAAAAGTTGTGAAAGTTTGGACACTTGTGATCTACATCTCACTGTAAAACTCATAACAGCTCTTCTGATACGTTATATTGTTAGATACCTGTATGGTACTGACAGACTTGAGTGAGCTGCCACCCATGGAGTTGAGCTAGGAAGTTTTGCTTTATCTAGTGCATAACCTTATGTCAGTGAATTGTGCTTTTAAGGATGAACATTTGACAACATAGCCGAGTGAAATGCCTGATAGACATCTTCCATTTAAAAGCAGCTCAGTTCTAGTTTTTGTTTTATGTAAAAAGTTCATGGTATGTTCATAATTCAAAAGATAACTGAAATTTTTTCAGTAGTTCAGTACTTAGTTTATATCGGAAAATATTTTTGTGGGGTTGCTTTTCTGTGAAGTCAATTGTATATGAATGTCAATGGTTACATTCATGAAGTTAATAGTTACGTTCAAACTACCAAAAATTTGTGGAAGGCAGTAGTATGCGAATTCCTGGAAAGGCTGTAATTGTTTTCAGTTAGTGATCAAATTCTCTTCTTTATACATAATAATCAGAAATATAAGAGCCCTTTGCTACCAATCAATAATGCATGAAATATTTTTTTCCCAATTATTATTCTTCAGTTAGTGAAAAATATCCTGTGTGTTACAAATGAAGATAAAAGAAGCACACATTGCCAATTGGTGATGTGCAAGATCTTTTATTTCAGTGTTATGAAACTAGCACTGCTCATCAATTTAACAAAGTGATTCATTTAAAAAAGTTACTTTATATGTATTTTTCAATTCCATTTTCATCAAGTGTTATTTTATACCAAAAATATGATAAATAAAGCATGTATCTATTATCCTGCAATATATTGATTACAAAATTTCTAACTCTACTTCTTCTTTATGCTTTCATTTGTTCTAAAAAGAAAATTTAATAGTCTGAAGAACAGAGGTGAAATTTTTTAATAATGTGTAACCCATTATCTTATGCATAAGCATTTTGTAGTGTATATCGATAGACATTTGGGATATCTAGAGTTAATAATCAATGATATTGTTAGATTGTTATTTAATTTCAGAATAAAAAAATTAATCAGAATACTAAGGAAGTTAATAATTAAGGGTCAAACAAAATGTACATCATATGAAAAGAGACCTTAAAATCTTCAAGTTTAAAATCTCTCTCTCAATATTTTTTTTTTTTTTTTTCTTTTCTTTTAAATTTGGATACTAATAGACTGTTTTAGTCTCCCTGCCTTCACATCTTACTATTTTACGTTCAAACTACCAGAACTTTTAAAAATGAGATTTATTTTAGTTTTGTTTTTATTACATAATAAAGATATAGCAAGTTATTTTTTCATTGCTAACCTTAGTGTATCATTTTCATCTTATGCACTGTTTTATTACTTCTTTGACAGGGCTTGCACCAGGTAACAAAGCTGAGTTCACTAAGGTAATTTGATATTAATAATTATGTAAATTAAAAGTGCTTGTTTATTAGCTAGGTACAAATGATTTATACCTTGGCATCTGTTGACATTGGCATAAGGTAAAAAATTGCTAATCTTCTAACCATATCAAATCATAAACAAGACAAAGAACGGGGTGAAATGTCAGATTACATTATAATAAAGTGAAATAATTGTGTGCATATATTCAGAGTTGTATCGTTAGCAAAACACACACACATATATGTGAGAAAAATAAAGAATATGTGAAAGATCAAATAAGCAGCTTAAATCTCCTTCTGTATTCTAAAAATAGTAACTTCTATTTCCACTGTGTCATTTCTAGATTAATCCATGTCATATGACTCTTACATAATTCTGGTGATGTAAATAGGTAACTCTGCAGCCAATAGTATTTTACGCAGTACTAACTATCCAACAAATACATTGAAACCAAAACTAACTCGGGCTGAAATTAAGGTTTCACCCTGAACATACGGCACTTCCTTTCAACGCTTTGGCTTAGCTGGACTGCTGTCTGTCTGCTGTTTCCTTCTTGCTGCAAAGTTATTAGAAATGTAAACCCCATGGAATAGGCACAATTAATGTGCCAACTTAATTGTGGTCGCAACATGTTTGCTGAAATAAAAAAAATGTATATTTAATCTGCCTTCGCCTTCAATTTCCTATTCATTATGGATCAACACTTCTGTGTCATCAAAATTTCTGCTGGTCATACACTTCAGACTTTATTACATATTATTACATATATATATATATGGTGCAGATTTTATCACTGAAGTGAATGAAAGCATTTTTACTAAATATAAAACAAAGTTTGCCTTGTTCATCCTTACCATCGATGTTTTGCACTATTTGTTGACAGACCAACAAATCCTCCTGCCCCCACCTCCATAGTTTCATTTAATCATTCAAATGAAAAATCCATAGTATGTTCACTTTTATATGAATATTTTCACATCGGAAAGCTAGACTTCCTTAAGATCAATTATAAATACAGTTTCATGTGTCCAGAAATCAGATGCTAGATAAGTATGGAGCCCTTGTTTTTCAGTTTCACAAGGTTGCCATATTTTATAGTATATTTTATTCCTAGCTCCTAAGCTTCAAAAAATCATTTTGTACCTGATTAATGAGCAAGTATCCCCAAAAAATGATTTTTTATCAATGCATTTTATATAATTAATTTTTTTATACAGTCAAAAGTCATTAATCCGGACTCGTCGGGACTTCGGCGATTCCGGATTATCGATTTTTCCGGATTATAGATCATCAGTTTAAATCGCGTAAGATGGCATGCAGAAATTCTAAATTAAAAATTTGAAACCATATTTATGAAATAAAGAACAATTATGATCTAAAGGTATCAAAATTTACAAAAAAAAGCTAATATTTATTTGTTTACTTTATTAAACTTTTCTTTTCATGTAAGTTGTTTAAGTTGTTTCGTTTTATGTGATAATACTTTCTCTTTAATTCTATAAACAGACATAATTTTTTGTTCAGTTACAAAGTTCCGCTGTTCAAGTCCCGTTAATTGCTGTGCCGAGAATACCGACTAACTTGTCAATCGAAATTTTTTCGTTTTCACTAACCTCTCTGTCAAATTCTTCATGTCTTTATCCATTTTCAGCAATTCCACTTTTTGTTTGATGGACATCGAAACATACTTTCGTTTTGTACGATCCTTTGGGAGCTCCAGATTCGGAAATTCTATTTGACATAATCAAAAGTTCAAGTTTACTTTTATAGTATTGCTCTTACAGTCTGCAAAAAATAATAAGCTGCATCCAATTCAAAAATTAAGGAACAACGCAATCATCAACATTAACTGAAATAGATAATTAGATAATTTTAGCTTATACCATTCGTTATACATAAAATGCGCACGCGAAAACCTTTTTTGCGCACACGCAAATGCGCAGTCGTAAGAGGTCTTACGCGAACGCGTAAACGCCTATGCGCATGTGCCAACGCGGCGCATGCGCAGAAAGTTTTTAGCTTCGAGGTTCGGATTATAGATCATTCCGGATTATGGGTGTCCGAATTAACGACTTTTGACTGTATAGCAAAGTAGAAACACAGAGAGTGAGTAAAATTTCATTCGCAGATCACTGTTAGGAACAAGAAGAGTGGACTGTTGTTTGGAGTTTTAAGACAAGGCTTTATTCAGTGCAAAAGAGCAAAATATTTAAATAAATAAAACAAAATTAAAAGTAATAATTTTTGTTAAGCACTTACATTAAGGAACAAAATGAAGCTAATGCACATCTTGTTATGTACATTTAGCAAGTGCTGCACTGAATACTTCATATTTTTTCATATGCTTCTTATGCAATCTTACCTTTTCACCTAATATTTATAAATACATTTTTGCTGCCAGTTTCATGAAGAAAAAAATGTCGTTTCACTGTATACTTAACGAAAGATTTGTTAAGATGAAATGATTTTTATTTTGGGATTTTAGTGTGTGGGAATAAACAAGGAACGAAAATGCTTGTTGGCTAGACCTCTAGCCATGTACATTCTTATTAGTCATTTATATTTCCTTCTTCAAGCAGAAACTTGTTAACCTCTTTTCAACTCGACCAAAAAATCTGCCGAGAGATAAAATTCTGAAAGGGATTTTTTTTCCCTGGTTTGGGGGAAAGTGGTGGGATTGCATTAGAAGCTATAGTATCTTAAAAAGCACATGAAATGAATAGCTCTTGACTGATAGATTTTTTACCAATTTGATAACATTGATTTGACTGATAGATTTTAACCAATTTGATGAAATCTTTTGCTGCCTGAAGAAAAGAAATATTTTTAAGAAATTATTTTTCTTCTGGTAAATAAAATTAACCAGTTTGTTTCTTTCAAAAGGAGACAGATTAAATTAATTATTATTAATTAAAGGATACGTGAAGGACACAGGTTAACTTTCAATACTGAATGCTATACGTGAAGGACACAGGTTAACTTTCAATACTGAATGCTATTTTTATCCCGGATAAAGATCTAGACACACATAACTTTTTCTACATCTACATGTGTGTAACCTGTGTCTTATATGCCATCAAATACGGTAATCTGTGCATGACTTAAGATCACTTTCCCAAGGTAATTGAATAATCAGTATAAATTCTATGGAAAAGGAAAAAGAATTGTGCCAGGCAAAAGAAATCTAATCTAATAATACAATCTGTCCATACAATCTGTTAACAAAGTTTGACTGTATATTTAATTAAAAATTTATTTCCTGCTTAAAATGATTGAGTGTTATAATAGGTTCTGTATCATTTTATGCAAGTAATGGAAACATGTAAAAATTATTTCATGTTTATAACAATTAATCATTGCATTCTTATATCTAATAAATTTGTAAAACTATATTATTGTATTGTCATTTAATATAATTTATAAAATTGTTCCATCACGCAAATCTAAGCAATGAAAGCATAAGTGCATAAGAAACTTAAACTTGAATATTCGACTTTTTTAAATTTTAACCGTGATCAAATTTAAGAAACCAGTGAAAAACTTATCTGAAAGTTTTATATTATTTTAGAATTAAATTTTGAAATTGTTGTATTGCATTTAACCTTGATTTATTTTATGAATTTAACAAACCCTAATCAGATTGTAACTTTAAAATTCTTATAATTTATAACCCTGATAATTTCAGAATTTTATAGATGTATTGAAAGTCTATAGACTACAAATATCTTTCGTATTTAATGTAAAATTTATGCATTGCATATCACTTCTAAAGGGTTGAAGAATATTGGGATCCCACTAAACCTGACTTAGATAGATTGCAAGTTACAAGAGAGATTCCAATGATTGCTATTTTGCTTTCCAAGAACATTTTAGATGCTAATGAGCTTGGGTAAGAGACATATTTTTTCAGTTTGATTTGAATCCTCAGTAAATGACTATTTTGTTTGCTTAACAGCTTATGTTTAAAAAAATTTCTTAGGTTCTTGTTCTGAATTACAATCTTAATTTCAGCAAATCATGATAATATTTTTGATGTTTTGTAAATAGCAACATTTACTTTTATAACATACTTTTATTATCAGTATTTTTGTGCAAAAATCAGTAAGCAATTTTGGTACTTTTCCATTTCGCCGGCGCAAGTCTCGCCAAGCAGACTTTATTGGCGACAACACATAGTATACATATAAAAAGTTTAACAAATGTTAGTTCTAAGAATTTATATTTTGAAGGCATAAACATTTTAATACCGTTTAAAATTTTGTAGAAAGACAATAAATTTGTAAGACATTAATTTAAGAATTTACTTTGCTCTCATTGTTCAACATCCTGATTCACCAGTTCATATCACATGACCCCAAGTGATCTCTTCTCACGTAAAGTACGCTACAAAAATCTAATTCTCTCAGTAATTATCTACATTAATTTCAAGTTAAATCTTAAATTAAATATCATGGAAAACAAGTTTAAATGGAAGAATTATTTCAAAAAAATTCGTATGAATAGCTTACTCAGAAGTTTACTTTGCTAGTGCATTCTCATTAGAATTGACGAATTTAACCCTTGACTTTGCCTTTTCTATATTTTCGCTTTTGGCTGAGAGATGTGATTGCATCCTAATTGACTTAATTACTGCAAATGGCCTTAGAGCATAAAATTGGACTATCTGGCAAAAATTCTATTCAACTGTATGCAAGATTTGAAAAAAACAATCAATCTGATAAAAAATAGCTGCGACTTGTTTTGAAAATGAGGCGTAGAAGGTTACCAGCAAGTATATTCTGTTTAGCATCGGTTGTACAATTTTTAGCGACTTTATCCCCTGCGCTGGCAAAATGGAAAAGTACCGCAATTTTCAGTACATATAATTATGAGTAATCAGTTGGAATTTTTTAGTGTAACAGGAGGGACTTAATTATGCTTAAAATTAATGAAAAGTGAATGAAATGCTTTTATAGTGTTTTTATTTAACCCTTTCATGTGATCAATTAATTAATCTATTAATATAAAGAGTACCACAATAAAAATGAAATTCCATCTTTATTAGTCACATTTTATCATTATTAGTAATATTTTATGATTTGATTTTTAAATTTTACCTCAACTGCTTTTGCAAAACGTATTAATTTTTGCAATCATCTTTATTTTACTTTACCTAATAATATGCATATATATATATATATAATATATACAGTACAAAGTCAGTAATCCGTACTCGTCAGGACTTCAGCGATTCCGGAGTAGGAGTTTTTTCCGGATTATAGACCATCAATTTAAATCTGGTAAGATGGCATGCAGAAATGATACAATTAAAAATATGAAACCGTAATTTATGAAATAAAGAGCAATTATTACCTAAAGGGTATCAAATTTTATAAAAAAAAGCTTAATATTTATTTGTTTACTTTATTTAACATTTCTTTCAACGCGTGCATGCGTAAAGCATACATTATGCACATGCGCATTCTTTACACGCATGTGTAAAGCATACAAAAAAAAGTTTGTGGCTTTGAGGTCTGGCTTAAAGATCATTCCAGATAATGGACATCCGGATTACGGACCTTGTAATAATGTTGAATGATCTTAAATTTTCAGAATTAAACCTTCTACATATGGGTTCCCTTTTTTTGATACTTCTACTAAATTTATATGAGGAGATAATATAATCAATATTTCTTTAGTAAATATATATGTGTATATATATATGGGCAGTCCATATTTTAGGGTATCCCTCGGACTATCGCCAAGTTGTTGTTTCATTTATGGTAACCTGAGTATTTTATGTTGAATGTTATGGAAAGCCTATTATGATGTTATTGGTTATAATAACTGTTTGACTGAGGGCTTATTTATACGTTGGATGTTGGTTATGAAGTCCCTTGCTTATTTTGTGCTTTAAACCATAAAATGCCTGCTGGTGGTATGATTAACCTGAAGTTTCTGTACACTTTGGAGCGAATGGGAAAGAATGCATTGATTGACTGGTGGGTAAATGAAGATTTAAATGGCTTCATTCACCTCTCAGTAAATTACACAATCAGATTTAAGGATTTGGAAACCGGAGCTCATATCAACACTGAAGAAGGTAGATGGGGTGAAATAAAAAGGGATTTTCGAAAGAAATGCCACCAGCAGTATGGAGGATATTTTTGTTTTTTACTTTAGTGAATTTATGTGGCGATGGCAGTGTACAGATAATTTTAAACAGTTTTTTAGGTGCTGTTAAGGAATTCTGTGTGCGACAGGTTAAAGACATAGAAATTTCTAAATAAGTGGATTTTTCCTTTTTGTACTGCGCAGATTAGATAACATGCATTTCCATTTTCATGTTAATTCCTTGTTTTATTTTTATTTAAAGTGTATTTTATTGAGATTAGAAGTTTTTTATGTTTTATTGCATTTTGTTTTTGATGCTATTTTATTTGTGAGGGCGTTGCATGTAAGCAAGAATGGCTCCAGAAGAAAAAAAAAAAAAAAAATTACCAATTTTCATCAAGGTTACCCTGAAATATATTATTTCCATATATATAAATATGTAAGAAAAATAAAATGTAATATATTATGTAATATATGTAAGATATGTAAGAAAAATAAAGTATGTAAAAGATTAAATTATTAGCAGAGAAAATTAGTTCCCTTCTGTATTCTAAAAATATTAACCTCTATTTGCACTGCTTCATTTCGAGAAAAATCTATGTCATATGATGCTTACATAATTCTGATGATGTAAATAGAACTAAAGCAGCCAATAATAATTTTATAGCAATATTAACTATCCAATCAAGATACATTGAGAGCCAAAACTAACTCGATCTGAATTAAGATTTCACCTTGAACATAACGCACTTGCTTTCAACACTTTGGCCTAGCTGGAATGCTGTCTGTCTGCTCCTTCTTTTTAACTGCAAATATATAAAAAATGTAAGCTTTTTGGAATAGGCACAATAAATTTGCCAAATTGCTTGTGTTCACAATATGTTTACTGAAATAAAAGTTAAATTAAATATACCTTGACTGCCAAATTTCCTATTCCTTGTGGATTGCCGTTTCAGCATTCTCTGGCATCAAAATTCTAGCTGTTCATTGCAGATACACTCACCTTCATTCTACTACAGAATTTATTACATATATTATCAGGACTAATTGCTAATCTGTTATTTCTTCTAATCTGCTTGGCGAACATTACGTGTCCTGAATAGACAGTGAGTTTGACTACAAACTATGCCCTATAGAGTGTAGCAAAGATGACAAGATGAGAAGAGTTAAATTAACCTTTATTTTCAACGATATTATAGGCGCTCCTACACTTCGGGATACAAAGACCAACCATGGTCCTTGTGGTCTGAATGTAAAAATATAAGAGCTATTGTCTAACTAAAATTTAAAAAAAAGCTAACTTTGAATACTTTATACAAATGACTAATACTGAGACTGACCTTTTTAATTATTATGTATGTAGTAAACAAACTGTGCAAAACTACAATACATCTTTAGCTTTCAAGAGAAATAAAACCTCTGGCCTTAAAGGCAGACAGCAACTGATGGCAAACTTCTGTGAAATGCAATGGCAAGGCAGCTCACTTTCTCTCCATTTAACTCTGCTCTTGGAAAAAAGCCACAACTTAAATACTTAAGTGTTAGCAAGTACAATTTGCATAAACAAGTTAATGAATTTATTCTGGCCGGAAGTAGAAAATAAGAGATGATAATAAAGTTTTAAAATAAAGTAAACGTTAATCAAACTTAAGATCTTACCTATATATAAAACATAAACAAATGTAGGAGGAATAGAATCCTCCCTAGCTGAAAGATTAATTAAATAATATAATTAAGGGGAAAATAATCCTATGTAATTAAAATTAAGAAAGCAATAGCAAAAGATTACTATTTAAGTCGAATAATTCCAATTCAAATCGTAATTTTAAGTAATTTTAAAAAATTAAAAAGTTTTAGAAATTTTTTTTAAAGTATTAAAGAGTAAAAGGAAAATTGACATGGAAAAAATGCATTACAATCAAAAGTAGTGGATATGCATAAAATTGTGATGCAAAAATTGCTAATAATAATTATAGCCATATAAAGAAAATTACCTTAAAGTGAAAGATAGTGAAACAATACTGACTCTTCAGGGGGAATTAGCTTATTCCATACTCTTTTCAACCGTTCAGACATCGTGTTTTGTCCTTGCTATGCATATGCAAATCGAAAATAGAAATGAAATTAAACATGTTTAATTCCCCAAATTTATAAAACTCATATACATATCCAAAATTCTCCTGCATGATGTAAATTAATTTAAAATTATTTGGAATGAAAAACGTTATTTAAATGGAAAAAAAAAATGTTAAAACAAAACTTAAGTATCGAATCAATGATATAAGCAAAATATGTAAAAATGTGAAAATAAAACATTATAATGCAAATGTAAGTAAAAGAAATACGTGTAATATTACAAAAATATTCAATTAAATGAAATGTCAAATTTAAAAAATTAAATAGGCCATTATAATTTTAAAAGCCAAGAAGTTACTCTACATCGTGCTAGTGACAACAATGAACAGGGTATTATTCTTTATCCCAAGGGGGCAGGTGTTTTGCTTGTTGTTGCCAGGTTTTATTATATATCATATTTTAATAATTGTATGGTATTTTATATCATGAAAAGTAGAATAAAGTATTATTTTCAGCTAATTTATTTATTTAATTTTCTACTAAATAAATTAATGTTGAGCCATTTAGTATTTAAATTACACAGTACTCTCAGAATAACTTATTTTTATTTTATTTGATTTTTATATCAATCTTATACCATCAATTTCCGGTATGATCAGTAGATTTTAATTTCTGCTTTATATATTGCTGTCCAAAATCATACTAATTTTACATTTTTTATAATAAACTATTTATAGTTCTTAAATTTACTGTGAGATAATAATTTTTCCATAACTGTTTGCAGTTTATATTCCTCCTGAGATTCATAGCTAGTTAATTCGCTTGCTGAATGCCAGCATTAGAAACATTCTAGTCTACATAGTAGGCATGTAGAAGTTAATATAGTGAATGCAATATGAATTAATTGGAGTTAATCATTTCTCTGTCTAACATGAGTTGTTTTGTATTATTCAGCATCAACTGAAATTAACACATTCTTTCATTATTAAGCAGTGTAGCCTAGTGCTTAAAAGATGCTGTTCTGCTTTACCACTTTAGGTTATGTTATGACAGTGATGTGTGATGTTGCTACTACTGTGTTATGTACCTTGATTTTCATTTTTATTTTATTTGATTTTTATATCAATCTTATACCATCAATTTCCGGTATGATCAGTAGATTTTAATTTCTGCTTTATATATTGCTGTCCAAAATCATACTAATTTTACATTTTTTATAATTTGGGTTAGAGCAGCCATGTATTTCTTTCCATGGTTTTCTGTTGGTTAAATGTTCAAAGCACTGGCAATTTGAATTGGTCTCAGAATTGGTTCTGAGTAATTGAATAGGATGGCTGCATTTTGCTTTTTGAAATCTTTTCTATACCTGACCCAAATATGAGCCACTTTTAACAGGAAGTACATCACAACAGGAAATCATCTCTCCCTTTAAGCAGATTTCTTATGGACTTTGCAGTAACTTTAATCATGATCTGAGGAGCTCTCCCGAGACATTAGATAGTGTAGAAAATTATCTCCATAAACAAGAGTACTTTACTTTTCAACAAAAATATAATTGTACCTAGTAATTTAAATCGTACATCATTAAATTTATATATTAAAAATAGCTATGATAACTGTGTAAATCTTATAATTAAATAGTGGAAAATAAGTGTGCTTGTACGTACTTTTCTTGCGTTACCAAAAAAAAAAAAAAAAAAAGTGGTATCTAGAGCTATCAAATTTTGAACATGTATGCTACTTTTTCCTCTACCCGAACATGTGCACTATGAAGGCCAAATTTTGAATTTATCTTTTATTTACCTCATATGTTCTGAAAAATTAATGAAATTTTGATTAACAAACTGGATGATTTAAAAGCAGTATGTTGCTGTTGCTGCTTGGCAAACCATAAAATATCAATGTTTCAAATTTTATTTGAAAACTCAACAATTCAAAACAAATATGTTTGCCACTCAGAAAGCTTTAGACATTTTTTTTTTTTTTTTTTTTTTTTTTTTTCAAATTTAATCAACAAACACATTGACTTAAAAGAAATGTGTTGCCACCACCTGAAATAAAATATTTTTATCTTCTGTGTGTCACTGTTCAGCAAAGTTATTTAATTTAATCTGTGTGTTATATATTATATATATATATATATATATTGCTTCAAAAGAATATAATTCTCTAGCGCGATTGCTGCAAGGAATGAAATTTGAATTTAACAAACATTCTCTATTCGTAAAAGGCAAATTTAAAGTTAATAAATTTAAATGAAATTTAATGCAAACAAATAAATGATTAATTATTGTTGCGAACTAATCTACAGTAAGGGGTGTAATATTCATATCAACTATAGAAATATTATTAGTATATGTCTTGTGATGTGTGTTCTGTATCGTTTAGGAGTCATAATTACTTATTTATGAAGTAATTTAATTTCTGTGCAGTAGTATAATATAATTTAAATATTATGTTTATGTATTCTATTATTTTATCTGCATATAAAAAATTTTGTATAGGTACCAAGGGCCGGAAGGTTCTAAAAATTCTAAGAAAGCTATGAAAAGGAAGAAAACACAGCATGGACAATCTCATTCAAGTGAAAAGCTTGTCAAAGATATTGCAGAATAAACTGAGATAATTTATCTATTACTTTATTGAAATAAATAAATGTACATATGTTTTGTTTTTTAATATAACACTTTTTTTCACTTGTTAAGTGGTATTTTCCTTATTTTGTAAACAATGTTGGGAGAATGGTTCAGTTCGTCTTTCCACATTTTTTCAAATTTTATTTTAATGTTTCATTTTCCTTTTCACTGAAAAATTATTTTATTAGATTCTATCCACATATCACACTTAAACATATGCCTTGATGAAATTTCCAATTCATATTGCTGATAAGCATTTTTTTAGGTCTAATTTTTAATAACTTAAATCTTTAATGGCTTCTAGACGTTTTCTGAAAATGCATTGTGTACTATTTACTTCGGAGAAATTTATGATTGAACATAAAAATTTATGATTGGTATGTTAAAAACACTAAAACAGAGTAAGTTTAAGTTTAAAAAAAATTGTTTTTAGTGTCTAGAATTAATGAAAATGGTACATGAACAAATTTAATTGTTGCTGCATACCGTCAGTTAGTTGTTTCATGATATAGAATGCATGACATTATGAAAATTTTATTTTAACTAACCAATTAATATCATTTGAACCTTTGCTGCAACTCCTTCTTTCTATATCCTCACCATAATGCAAATTTGTTAATAAATTATTTAAGCTGAGGGTTTGAATGTTTTAGAACCTTTGGTAGCTTGTTTGCAGCCTATGTCATAACACCAGCTGTGCCAAAGCTTCTTCCAGCTTTAGTCATTTTGCTAGCTGATGTTTAATAATTGCCATTTACTAAATTGAGTCAGCTTAAGTTTGGATAAGTTGGACCATTTTGGATGGTATTTAAATTCTCAACAGTCTTTAAATTCTCAACAGTCTAGTATTACTTAACACTAAATTTCAATTTATGTTACATTAAATATCTGCAAGGAGTGGAATTTTGTTTTGTAGCATAAATGGTACCTTCTGTTAATTTCAAATGATTAATAAAAATATTATTTTAACTTCATAGAACTTTGTTATCTGTGTCTTGTACTTATAACGTTTTTTAAAAACTTAACCATACCAGCATTTTTTCCACTGAAAGCTCTGCTCCTATCTGTTGTAATACTTGCTGTTATGTTCCAGAACAGACCACTTTTCTCCACATAATTCCCAGCTCTCTCAAGAAAGTCCTGATCAGTGGTTCTATCTTTCATTGATTCTAGGTCAAGTAATTCCTCTGTGATGATGAAATTTCATTAATTCCCCTGATAAAGAGAAGTAATTGTGTAGTGTCTTCATTAAATCTGTTACCATCTGGTACCAAATAAAATCTTTGCTTGCAGTCTTTAGCTGCTGTCTGAATTCGTCACTAATTAGTCAATGTGCCTGTGTAATAGAGTGTGACAATGAAATGTTTTTCACATCAGGACACAATATCCTTGCACATTCTACCATATATACTGCTTAAAAAACATTCCATCCGAACAAGGTTTCTTGTGTTTAGCAGGTTTCTAGGCTACTATGAAACTTTCTTCTGTTGAACTGTTTTGAAGTGTTGATTGTTTTATAAGTAATGTTTGTTGCTTCTTCAGCCTTTTCACATACATTTTATAGCTAGATTTGCTATGTTTGTTTAGTGTCGTTTCAGATTGTATTCCTGAAATACGGCTATCATTTCATGACACAAGAAATTCTCTGTATTGCCAAAGAATTATTACTTGTCCATTCTTCATTAAAAACATAACATTCATCACCAGTTTTATGTTTATTTTGGAGGTAAAATAAGTAAGGTAAAATAACATGCTGAACAAATATTAATTTAAACAACAAAAATCAGCATTATATTTGCAAATTTTCACAGAGACTAGTTTCGATAGTTTTTTCCAAACCATTATCCTCAGCTGCTAAAGTGCAAATGAACGAGATAAGATAAGAATGACTGAACAGGAGTTAATGTATTGGTGTCATCTCTTGATGAAACAAAAAACTGAAACATAATTTCCTTAAGGGCTGCTTCAAATTGCTGAAAATGCTAATTGGAGACTGTAATTTACTCTACTAGTGCAGACCGCATAGAATGCGCCTTGTTGGTGGCTTATTTATAAGAGAAATGCCGTTGCTGTCTAAACAAAAATGGAATTTTTGCATCCTAACAAAATGATGTTTTTAACACTTTCATTGCTTGCATTAACAAAATCCTTGTCTGAAAATGTTTAAAATATTCTTGATGTATTTCTCCTGCTTCCATTTACAAATTTATCAGATGAATCACTTATTTCCATATCCAAGTCATCTAGTACTTATATGGGCAAAAATGTTAACCACCTTTCTAATTCCACTTACTGGAAGAAATGTAGGGTTAGGATGAATAAACAGCACAAGTTACACAACTTGCAAACTAAGCGCATGCATTTTGTTACTGGGTGAACAGTTGCAGATGAAGTGTCTGAATAAACAATAGAACCACACCACCAGGTGAAGGAAAGTATGAACTAGAGCGTCATCCCGCAGGAAAAGAAAACATGCAATGCTGTCGTGAGCATGTTAAAAGACTTCTTAACTGACCTTTCATCCTATACCTGTTGGTTGGTACCCAAATGGTATTCTTGGGTCTAAGCTTTTGTTCAAGTTCTCAAGTCAGTCTTCTTTTGAGTGCCATAGTGATGGTTAAGTTTGAGGATAAAACAGAATGTAATTTGATGAAGGTGAAAGGAGAGAGCCCTTACCACTCCTACTTGACTTGAAAAACCTTCTCTAAAATATTGTATTTAGGGACATTCCAAAAGATGAGCTAATTTATGCATGCAGTCATTTCCATGAAGACCTTCAACAGTGTTCAGTCTAGTATTGATGCTATACAGATTCTTAAAGCAACAGCATTCTGTCACAGAAACATTGCAAAGAAAACTATTCAAAGCCTTCATAAACGTGTGGCTTATAACTAAATCAGCCATTAAGCAAAATAGCATGTACTTACAGCATTATAGAAAAGTGCACTACAAAAAGGTGTTTACAGCCTCAAGAAAATGGGGCACCACTAAAATTTTCCATTGCCGATTATACTATAGACTTTAAGGTGCATCCAAATGACGACCAAGAGAGAAGGTTGGTTTGGTTTATTTGGTTGTAGCAAAGCACACTAGGACCATCTGTCTAAATGGAAGGATGCTTTCATGGAAAATTTTCTAAGTGAAGCTGGCTCATGACATGTAATGCATGGGTAATAACTCACAAAAACATCCATGCAGCCAGCTCGTTCACCGGGATTTGAGTCCTGGATCGAACTACTAGTGTTTAATGACTTTACCGCATGACCGTTGGTGGGCTTTAAGAGAGAGGTGAAATAGAAACAGGCATTATACTGTAAATGTATGTGGAGGCAGCATTTGTAAAAGACTTGCCCTGGCATGAATGCTGATAGATATATTAGTATCTATAGTATCATTGTTAAGAACAAAAGACTAAAAGAGAATATTGAAAAACAATGATTAATTATTTTTCCTTATGATCATCATAGTTTGTTTGATTACAGTGGATCTGAAAAACAGTGATCTATATTTTTTATATTATTTACTCAATCCCCGAAAAAATGTGAAATTTTCATTTTTTTAATATGAAAATTATGTATCCTTGATAAAGATGTTTATTCTTCCATTATTTACATTGTGGGCTTTTTATTTTGAATATTGACTAAATTTACATAATTATGAATTTATTCTCCAGGATTAAAATTCTTATTCCCTGAAAATATAAAAAAAAATTGTCTATGTTATCTTTCATTTAATTATAACGTGGGTTATTTCTCTTATTTTATTTATTTTTTAAGTAACCTGAGATTAATTCTAAATTACTGGTAGCCCTTGTATATGGTTTGGCAATGATAAATCGGGAGTTGATTCTGTTTTGGGGCAGACTGCCATCAAAAGGAACCAGAAGTCTTTTTAATAATTATCTGAACCTTGTATGTATGCAGAATAGCAGTTTAGTGTATGTGGCTGTATTTGAAATACACTTTTCAGACTTGTATAGATCCCCTTTCACTTGACATATTTCGTTAGAGCCTGGTGAGAGGTTCTTCAGTACATTAAAGGTTTGGCCAGGAGCCAAAAAAAATCATTGCCATAAGTTGCTGAGAATGACATCGTGTGGGTGACACAACAACTAGTTCGAGGAGACTGCTGCATGATTTCTAAATAGCAAATAACACATCGGAAACACCGGGTACATATTTTCCAATCAAGTATTTTTTTAAGCATATGTTTATTTTAAGCTCAGAACTCGTAGGAGTACTGAAATAATTATTAACATTACCTTCTTTTCCTAAAGGAAAGCATTAAAAGGTGAATAAATATATTTCATTTTATTAAGGAAACTAAACATTGGGAAAAGCACTTTATTTATTATTATTTTAAATCTTGTCGTATATATTACCGGCAAAGTATGAAATGACGGCATTCTATAGAATGCCTAGGTATTGTATATAATGCCAGATGATTTTAGGCAAAGTATGAAATAAGAGAATTATTACATACTTTACCTAGGCATTCTATAAGATGACAAATGCTTTTTAGGCAAAGTATGGAAAAAAAAGTTATGATAAAGCTATTATTTAAAAGACTTTCATTCCTCTAAAATACAAGTGTTTTTTAAAAAAATTAATGAGAGAGTGGCATTAAAAAACAGTTATTCGAAATATAAAGAAAAAAAGATAGTGGGGTGATGTTGATACAGAGTAATAAATTTGTATTTTCTAATCTGGCTGAGACTGGGAATCGGTAAGATCCACCTGACAATGGAAGTTAAATTAAAAAACAATAATAATTTTCACATCAGTGCCGTTTTTAATACCTTTTTGTTTTTTCTGGCAGGGTTCACAAAAGTTTTTGTTACAGTTCAATATCATTACATGTAATGGTTTTGTAATTGGTTGAAAGTTCTTTCGACATTCTGTCACGTCATTCCTGTGCAGTACTTAAATGAGTTTTCATGAAATACGGAAAATATCTTAGCATCCGTGACGCAATACTGCATGCATAGTACTGATGCTTTCTTTAACAGGATAAAATGAATGTACTTCTGTTTTCCACAAACATCACAACCTAGCATTTGGCTGCCAGTAGTCCCGTGGTTCCTTCTTAGTAGTCATTTTGGCCTTTTTACATCATTTTTAATAAATGATTTGTTTCCAAGAACTGAAACTTCTAGTAAGTAGTTTCAGTTCTTGGAAACGAATCAGAAATGTATTTTATACTTTGCCAGTTTGTCTTTGGCATTCTATAGAATGCCTAGGAAATGTATGAAATATGAATCATTTCATACATTGCCGGCTAGTTTTAGGCATTATATACAATGCCTAGGCACTCTATTAGAATGCCGGATTTCATACTTTGCCTGTAACATATGCACTTAATGTAAATAAATCTTGTCAAATAGAATGCTTGAAAACAGAACTGCAAAAATTTGATTAAAAATTATTTTCCATTTTTTTCCATTGCATATGTATTGTTTTAATAAACGAATTTTGACATGATCATAACTTTCATTTTAAATTACGTAGCTCAAAGAAAAATATATGTAAAAGTATATGTATCATCAAGTTCATATTTAGTTAACGTAAAATTCTATAGAAATTGTTAATGGTGTGTTTTTAAAGTCTCTATACATTTAAATGCTGTATTTTGCTCATCATTTTAGACTTTTTACACAATTTTTATGGATTTATTTATGACGTCTTATTTTTGAAATGCTACAATGATTTATTCACTTCAGACTATTGCAAAAGTGCATATGTTTTCGTTATTATTTAAAAGCATAATCCATTACACTGTTAGGATTAATTTATAGCGTTTATCCCCATGTAACTGATTATTACAGTATATAGTCTTCGATATTTACACCCTGTTCTTTCTATATACGAAAAACTGAACTCTCAGAATAGATTTGTGTACACGTACACGCACAAGTAAATAAATTCAAAATTAAAAGCTTTTGCGTATTTTTAATTCTAGTTAAGCTTTCA